ATTACATAGAATTTGTAGTCCTAGACAGATTCATGTAGCGCCTTTGTTTCAAACACACTTGTAAGTTTTCTAATAGCTGAATTGACTATCAATTTTTAAGTTACGATTAAAATAAAAGAATTTAAAATGAACTTCCTTAGTCCCTAGGCCACATTCCAAGAGCTCTGTAGCCACCTGTGGCTAATGGCTGTCATATTTGGGCAGTGTAGCCCTCAAATGGCCTTCCCCTCAGTGTTGCTTTTGACATCCGTTAAAAAAACAAAGAAAAAACAGCTTATGTATAGATTTTGGTCTTGTTTTGTATTTAGAATACAATTAACATTCCCTAGTTCCTTCTTCTTACGTATAGCCCCAAATTCCTTTGTTCTATCCAGCTTCCCTTTTATTTGTCCTTAGACTTGTCTGCTTACTGGGTTCACTGGGGGTCCTCATTTAGTTTTGTGGCAAGTATCAATTCAGTACAGTGAGACTTAATTCAGGGGCATAACTCTTTCTTGAACCTCTCACTTCTACAAGGAGCTCTGGTAGCATAGTAGTTACAAATCGGGCTGCTAATCTCAGGGCCAGCAGTTTGAAACTACCAGCTGTCCCAAAGGACAAAGATGAGGCTTTCTGCTCTCGTAAAGATTTACAGCCTTGGAAACCCTGTACAGGGTCGCTTGCTATGGGTTGGAACCAACTCCATGGCACATAATAACAACAACAACAACCCAAACACTAAGCACTGGACTGCTAACCACAAGATTAGCCGTTCAAACCCATCAGCTGCTCCACAGAAGGAAGGTGAGCCTTTCTGCTCCTGCAAAGATTTAGAGCCTCAGAAAACCTTTGCAGGGTTGCTATGAGATGGAGTCGGAACGGCCTCAACAGCACCTAACAAGAACAACACAAACTGCTTCCCTCTAAATTATGCGTACCACTTTGTAATTCTTTTACATTTGATTCATATTATCAAGCTTAAAGCTTGCAACTGTATGAAGTAAATGGGAGATCTGGCATTAATCCTATTTTACAGATGTTTTATTGAGTACTGTCGAGTTGGTTCCAACTCGGAGCAATCCTGTATAAGGTGTCCAAGGAGCAGGTGGTGAATTTGAACCCCCGACCTTGAGGTTCAAACTGACATTGTGGTACAGTGCTTTTCCAATCCTGGTGTGGTGCTGTGGGATAATGCACCAGACTGCAAGGCCAGTTTAAACTGCAAGGTTGGTGGTTCAAACTCACCAGCCACTTCTTGAAAACCCTATACAGAGTTGCTATGAGTCAGAACCGACTCAACGACACTTAACAACAACAACATAGTGTACTAAGGAGCCCTGGTGGCACAGTGGAATAAGCAGTGGGCTGCTAACCACAAAGTTGGCAATTCAAAACTCACCAGTCACTCAGAGGGAGACACATGAGGATGTCTGTTCTTGTAAAGAATTAAGCTCGGAAACCCTATAGCCCAATTCTGCTCTGTCCGACTGGGCCACGATGAGTCGGCATTGACATGATGATGCTGGGTTTATGGTACATTCCCATTCAAAAAAGGCTTCCAGAGAATGTCAGGCCCGATCTCTTGCTAGTCTCAGTCAGTCCTGCACCACAATATAACTCCACTGCCATCAAGTTGATTTCAACTCATAGTGACCCAATGCCAGCCTTACAAAGTTGTTAGGATAAAAAAAAAAAATCATCTCAAGTACTAAGTTACCTAAAATGAAATCCTGGGAAACTGGATTATCACCTCACTATTTTAAAAATGGATTCTTTAAAATTTGAAACTAGTCATTTTGAGAACAGGGTTGTTGAATACATTTAAATTACTGTCTTGCAGTGAGTTGGCCAGGAAGACCGCATCTCTTTGTTGATATAGATGTAGATCCAGGAGAGGAATGGCAAAAGGGAAATTATAATGGCAACAGCCAATTGAATTCTTCCGCCAGCTGGATTCCTGTAATGACACACCAAAGATTACAACTAAGAACCATCAATAAAAATGATGGATTGCGTTGGAAACAAGGATAAAGATCAAGTTGATAAAACACATAATTACATTTTAGGATCATCTATTTTTTTTCTTAATGTTTAAATTAAAGCACAACTTATAAAAAGTTAACAATACAAACATACA